AAGTTGCCAAATTGCGCACTTAAACGAAGAACCGCATTAAATTCTTGTGTTGTTTTTTTTTTTTTGAAATTACTCGTTTCCTTGATTATTCGTATTATTCGTGTTGTTCTTCGTATAATCTGATCCAGATAGGGTGTATGATGATCCGATTTGTCCGAATAACGTCATCCACAATTTTACAGAGCACCATAAAATTGAAGCAAACGAGTGTCTCGATGTTTTGTTGATATTTAAAAAGTAGCATAACTTGGTTGTTGTTGTCATGAATTCGTCTTAGCTCACTGAATATTTGACTAAACCAGGATGCCGGCAAGCATGCATGACGTGCCGACGTCATCCACAAATGGTCTTCAACGCAAACACCCATCAGACCATGCTGAACACGCAGCCAATGTGTAAGTGCTCATTCATTCTTTCCGATCCCTCAAACCCTGTCAGCTAAACTTGAACCAAATCCGGCACCTTTATGTAGATAATATTATTCGCATATAATTTGCAGTAAAACGGATTTTCTGTGTCGCGTCAAGTACAGTAACACTCTTCCTGATATTCCGTTCGAAGCCAAGTTTCTTCCGTGCCCGTTCACATCTTTGAGCAGGTTGGTATTTATTGTCAGCTCGTTTCGTACTACTGAATTTGCTGAATGAATAGGATTTTACCTTGGTGGAGCGTTTTGTTGATTAAGAATAGCGATACTGATAGAAGTATGGATGTTTCAGATTCATCGAATACAAACAAACAGCGTTAGAGAAGAACTTTAAATTCGAGTTATTAACCGAATCGGATTTGGGTGTTAAAATCGATTTGATCAATCCAGAAACATATTTCGTCGATACTGACTCACCCAAAAAACCGGTTTGTTCAGTTCATGGAATTATGATTTAAATTATCTCCATTATCATTGGTGGGAAGTAACAATAAGTTATTTTTGTTTAGTAAACTAGTGAATTATTACTCGTCTGCAATATTTAAATGAACCTAAGGTTGATTATTCCATTGCATTGATAGACGTCTGAATGATAACATTTCAGCAGCTTCATCCCACAGATGCTGAACTTCTGGAAGATGAACAAACAAATCCACAGAATTCACGAAGGTTGGTTTCATTTTCTTGATGAATGCGTATATTTCGTTTACGAAAACCATCTTTTCAGTAGTATTAGTGAATGAATTAATCGGACAATTCAATGTGAAATATTTACAGATCGTTGCAACACAGCAAAATGGTGCCGTG